CTACAAAACATTGATATCTCAAATCCTGTAAGCTACCCGATTTGTTAGCGGTTTGTTTATCCCATGAGCTTCCTTCTCACTCACTTCATTTTGCGGACGGACACACATACATACACACACACGCACACACACACACACACACACACACACATACAGATACACAAACCGACACACAAAGTTAGCGCTTTATATAATAGAAGGATATATCTATGTATGTGTATGTTCGTCCGCAAAATGAAGTGAGTGATGAGGCAGCTAATGGAATTGAATAAACAATCCGCTAAATCTGGGCAGGGCTTGAGCTATCAATGTTTTGTAATAGGATAATTGTGATAACACTCCTACGGCTATATAAACACCTGCTTGAGCACACTTCCGGTCATTCCACATGGTGCTGCAGTGGCAGCTGGAGGGCAGTGGAGAGAGGGGAGCAGGGTCAATCGTCCGGAAGGGAAGGAAGGTCCCGGCGGTAGACGGGGGACTAATCTGGTATATGGCTAAAAGGCAAAGAAAGTAAACAAAAGGATGCATATACAAAAGGCATTAAAAGCTTATGAACGGAGTCTTAGTTCTCCTTCATTCTATCGACTGTACAAATAGAGATGTTGGATATCACAATATTTTTGGCAATAAAGTATAGATGAGATGTCTTGTTGAAACCGACACGAGAACGCCATTTTATAAGCAACTGCAAAACAGATTTCAGCACGATAAAGTCACGGTCATTGATGTTAATCACCTAGCCGACAAACGAAACCAAAGAAATCCCGGATTAGGCGCCTTATCAGATCAAAGGCTCTACAACAACACTTCTATTCTGGTTTTTCAATCTCAACTTATTCAGTGAACTCACTTAGCCTGATTTATTTCATATATAGATTTCTTGAAGAGTGACACGCATCGCAGAGGGCGAAGGTCACTTAAGGGATCTACAAGCAAAGCACGGTTTCTGGCAGGGTCAAGCGGGCGTCGAGGAAAATTTTGAAATACGACCCCCCTCCTTCCTCAGAGGCCGAAGTCCATGAAACAACCCTCTTCAAAAGCCGAACTATGAAAAGGTTGTTTAATTCTCCACCAAAACTGCTCATAAAAAAGCCCTGCTACCCCACCTTCACCTAAAAAGTCCTTCAAGAAGTACAAGAGTGAAAAGTGTGTGATTGATCTTTGGCGTTGACCGTGGAGCAGCTTATTCTACTATTGAAATTTGAACAAATATTCAAATGATTATAACTTTCTTCAAAGTTGACGAATTTTCAATCTGAAAGCAGATTTGGGAGTTTTGTGAAGAGCTCTTTCTATATTGAAATTACAAAAATTATGAGAAATAACAAATTTAGATCAATTAACGAGGAAAATTCATGATGAGCACGAGTTTTTACACTTTCCAAAGCCATAACTTGCTTCAAACTCGTCAAATCTGAAAAGTTAATATGGCAGACAAAACTAGAAGATTTGCTCTATTCGTACCGCCGAAAGGTACTTTTTCGCTTCATTGGCTATATTTCAACGCCTATAGCTGCTTTCAGGGGCGATTTTGTACAAAAATGGAGCAGAATCGGAACTCACGAGCTTTTTTCTTTATAATAAGTGTAAAACTGTTCGGCGAATCTCAACTTGTAACACTTACATGTTCGTGAATTTGACGCTGAAGGGCTGCTGTTGTATAGTGGACTCCTCCCTGTGATTTCCCACGGATCCTATCAGAATCCTCTTGATTTTTCCTTATTTGAGAGTCTTTCTCCAGAGCGTTGAAGCGCGCGCAACTAACAAGGTCCACTCTAAGACGCGCCGTGTGCTTCACATCCCTTTAGATTCGAGGACTCACTTGAGAGAAAATATCGGCTGGAAAACGTGCGAATTTCGGATTTTTTAACCTTTTCGCAATGAATCACTGAGGTAGGTTAGAATTACTACGCGGACTCTTCTGAACCACGAAAATCTTGTGTGGGCGGGATTTGTGGAACTTATGTGAACTCTGATATTTGGAATGCTCTCTTCCATGGCATCGATTCAATCCTTGATGTTTGTCTTCCGACAGTGATGATTCTACTGCATCGATAAAAACCCTTAACACAGTCCATAGCACCATTGTAGTACAAAAAAAAATCGGAAATGACCACCTGTACGAACCATTCCTCAAAAAAATTGTCATACTACTCACTACGTGAAAAATCACTCAGAGATATCGCGTCAACTTTCAGAGAGGTTGAGGTGGCCAACTGGGCACAAATCAGCCAAGCGAACCCTTCCTAGTACATACACTGCTCCGCATAATTATAAAGCCACCTATGTTTTCTGCAAAAACTCTTTTCCTAAGATGCGTTCGAAGAAGCTTCTATATGGAAAAGGATGTAGGTATAAATGTTCTTTTGCACACCAGCACAAAGTTCCAGCTTTGAAATTTGAAGAGAGTTTTTCTGCAATTTTTCGAAAAAGCCGCTCTGACCTATTCCGCATAATTATAAAGCCACCCCATACTTTCTCGTTGCCTTTCCTTCCTGCTCGATTGAATTTTTTTGTTGTTATCCACACTTCGTCTTTAGGTGAAAACGAGAGGAAACCGTCACCATAATCTGAATAAAGGGAAATCGTAACAAAAATCGTGAAAGAGTTGAGAGGCAGTCGCACTGCCCAAATTTCGGGCCAGGTTCGCTTCAGAGAAAACAATTTCTTCGAGCATAGTGTAGGATATGGAGTAAAATTGAGCCTTGGAGATCGTCCTTTGCTTTCGGATTCAGATACACGTCGTCTCATGAGAAAACCAAACAGTTCCATCAAGTTGTGCTCGAAAATCAAACCTTACTTGGAATTCAATTCTCCATCCGGTGTCTGTTCAGCGTCTGTGGCAGAACTGCAGGTTCATTCGCGAGTGAGAAATGTAAAGCGCATTGTTTATGACAACAAAACATCTCAAAAAGTGAGACAGTTTTGTCAAGAAGTGAAGCCGAGCTGACTGGAGTGAGGGCGGTTTTTTATCTGTCATTTCTCACGATACACCTGCCTTTCTTCCAAAGTTCTTTATCTCCAGGATACGCTTCTTCATAAGAAGAAGTTATCTAGAGTAAGAAAATGTTTCGAGAAAGGAAGACAAGGCGTAGGAAATGACAGGTAAAAAACCGCCCTCACTCCAGTCAGCTCGGCTTCACTTCTTGACAAAACTGTCTCACTTTTTGAGATGTTTTGTTGTCATAAACAATGCGCTTTACATTTCTCACTCGCGAATGAACCTGCAGTTCTGCCACAGACGCTGAACAGACACCGGATGGAGAATTGAATTCCAAGTAAGGTTTGATTTTCGAGCACAACTTGATGGAACTGTTTGGTTTTCTCATGAGACGGACGTGTATCTGAATCCGAAAGCAAAGGACGATCTCCAAGGCTCAATTTTACTCCATATCCTACACTATGCTCGAAGAAATTGTTTTCTCTGAAGCGAACCTGGCCCCGAAATTTGGGCTGTGCGACTGCCTCTCAACTCTTTCACGATTTTTGTTACGATTTCCCTTTATTCAGATTATGGTGACGGTTTTTCCCTTGTGGATAACAACAAAAAAAATTCAATTGAGCAGGAAGGAAAGGCAACGAGAAAGTATGGGGTGGCTTTATAATTATGCGGAATAGGTCAGAGCGGCTTTTTCGAAAAATTGCAGAAAAACACTCTTCAAATTTCAAAGCTGGAACTTTGTGCTGGTGTGCAAAAGAACATTCATACCTACATCCTTTTCCATATAGAAGCTTCTCGAACGCATCTTAGGAAAAGAGTTTTTGCAGAAAACATAGGTGGCTTTATAATTATGCGGAGCAGTGTATGTACTTAGTAACCCGCTCAAGGTGCGGAGGTCGCGCGACTACTGCAGTTGCGCATAATCACTTTTATCCAAGTGAGGGATTTCGTCAGTGCGGCGGAGCCCGGACCTCCCTTTGAGGGCAGAGATTGCTCCAGTTAGAGTGCTTGTTTAGTAAGTTGCAACACCGAATCAACTCGCTCTCAAGACCCTCGAACTTCTTCCTTTTCCTATGAATCCTCCCTATGAACTTCTTCATTACAATCTACATTACTACAATTAGATGTGTTATCAAAGGACAGAGTAGTCGACCACTCTGATCCGCCACGCCTGTCGGCTCCCATTTAGGTACGGTTGTGAGTTTGCAAAGCTATTTCGCCTGCACAGTCCTCCCCCCTCTCTACTTTTCTAGTCCAACTTTAGTTGAACCAAGGTTTTGATCCTCCTAGACAAGCTTAGATCGAATAACTGGGTCAATTAGATGGGAGCCTGACTACCCTGCGCGGGAACTGTAGAATAGAGAGGAGATGCGGGCAAGATGCCACATCGCTTAGTTGTGAGCATTTTCCACCTCAATCATGTTATTTATAGACATTGTAGACCCGATTCAAAGGCATGCCCCAGGACAAAGTTTTTATGGTTCTTGTACACAATTGCAAATTCATTAATGGGAAATGGGTCGGCTGATTAGGAAAAAAATCTGCTGAAAATGTTTGAGTTAGGGGCTTACTCACTTCGTAATTGGCTGTGCTAAGGCAATGAGAGACTAAGCGCGGAGAGGAGAGTATGGGCGAGAGAGCGCAACAGATGAGAGGGCGCCAGACAACAGCCTGATAAAAGAAAAAAAACTGCAGCTGGGCAGCTTACTTTGCAAGGCCCTAGCGCTCTTGTCGGTGATTTCCGTGCACGGAAATGCCACATTCGCTTCGGCCGATCTGATTGTCATCTCGTAGTCTATTCTAGAGATGGAAGAAAATCGTTCACACGACCTGTGCCTGGGTTGTGCCTCTAACAAGTGTCTTCAGCCAATGAATTGTTACCTATCTCTCGTGCTTTTTTCTCTATTTGGTTGTTCAAACGATGTCGCTTTTCGGATCGAGAATCTAGAAGCAACAATCAAGCATGATCACGGCAATAATTCTGCAATAGGTTTGGAACCACTCAAAATATGATAATAACTTTTATTCTGAATTCGCGCATTCGCAGTATGTGTGATCAATTCGTCGCCTGTTTGACATCTTTCTTAACGGCGGTTGTTACTGATCCATCAGGTCCATATCCAGAATTTTCGCCACCAGCACCTGTGCGAGGTGGGCAAGGACAGTAAGCTGCATCTGCTCCGGGAGCACCATCCGCCCCTGGACCACCTCCAACTCCATGGGAGCCGTCAGGGCCTCGTTTTCCAGGAAGTCCTGGCTCTCCTGGAGGACCAGGCGCTCCAGGTCCTAAACAATAGTAATTAAGCGCACATATGAAAAATTGATATTGAATGAATTACTGATGTTCTCACTAGCTGAAATTAGCAAAAGAAATGCAATACCTACCTGGATCGCTTCCAGGTTGACCCGCAGCACCAGGTGGTCCTGGTGGTCCAGGAGGTCCAGGCAGTCCTGGTGTCCCAGGCATATTCATGGTGCCAGGAGCACCTGGTTGGCCATCTGCTCCCGGTGCCCCTGCTGATCCATTCTCTCCGGCATCTCCTGGTGGCCCTGGCGGTCCAGCAATACCAAGCGCCCCAGAGAGCCCGTCCCTGCCAGGAGATCCAGGAGGTCCTGCGGGTCCAGGAGGTCCATTTGGTCCAGCAGGGCCTGGCGCTCCCTGCGGGCACTTCACACACGACTTCAGTATGGGGAACATTTCGGCCATACGCGACATTCCAGGAACTCCGGGTATTCCGTCCGGGCCATTTTCGCCATCGGCTAAAACGGTTGAGTTCGTCTAACAAACACTATATTCCGTACCAACTTTCTACCAATTGAAGAATGACTCACGTCCTGGCTCTCCAGGCTCTCCTGGAGGCCCAGGAGGACCGCGCTCACAGTTTGGCGGTGGAGGGGCCGCATTGCAGGATTCTGCCCTGGAATGAGTGGATTTTCCATCCATTCAGTTACTACGGGATACCTCAGCAACCTCGAGGCGAAACCGGTTATACGAATTGATGTCACTGTCTACCTGCTGAGTTGACCTGACGTTTTTCTTTGCGCAGAAGGACCTCGAACTTCGATGGAGTGTAGGAACGCGATGCTGGCACCATCTCTTGCCAGGCATCCTCGGCTTTCTCTAGAACCGTTGTTTTGAAGCGAAAACACCTCAAAATCACTGAAAAAAACTGCTTCATCGACTTAATCCCCTCGCCAATGCCCACAAGCATTTCTTCCAATAAAGGGAATCGCAGTGAAAGAAATGTGGTTCCCAATGCACAGTCCCTCCAATATCTAGTCTCGCGCTTCATTCTACCTACTAACCGGCTGAGAACACTGTTGCGTCCGTGACCTAATAACCAAGTGACATCGAGAACCGAGCGGTATCAGATACATCGGACGGTGCATAAGCGCATTACCGTACTGTGTAATCGGGACCCTCAAACTAGGACGCCTTCCACATTGCACATGCGACTCACTATCTTTAAGAGGATACATGAACACCAAAAACTAACTTTAAAGCTGTCCAGATCCTTAGTGACGTCATCAACAAAACGATTGATGTCGTTTATTATAGTGACAATATACCATATGGAGACCGCGATAGCTATGGCGCTCACACATGACCCCGTAGCAATCAACGCCTTCGTCGACATTCCAGGAGAAAACGCTGAAATAAAACTATGGGAAAAATAGTTCGAAGACACGGATTCTCAATCCCAATGAGACTTCAGAATAAATTTCCCAAAACATTCCTTAAGAATCACTTGAATACAATATTTCACAGCCTTTAAAAACTAACTTTAAAAGAGAAATGACCCTTCGCCAAACCAATGAAAGGCGAAAATCAGGACTACCTTGGGTTAGTTCCAACTAAAGACGAAAGTAAGGGATGAAAGGTGACCACTATGATGAGAACAAGGAAAGCAAAATCCTGACATTGCTCCGGAAATACCCAGCATTTGCCCAAATGCTGTGAGAAATCAAAAGACACGCAGGAATATCCAAATGGCGCAAACATCAAAAATACAAATATTATGTCATATCGAAATCAGGGCACGAATTACCCCGATACACAAAGCTTCGAAAACGAGAAAAGAAATTGCAGGTTTTCTCAAGCAGTACTACGTACGTAATAATAAATATTAGCAGTAATAGAGTAATAATGTAATGAAAATAGGATGCGCACACTCCTTATTTCTATTCGGATGTAGTTCAATTTGAATGCCGACCCATGCGGAGTAACTGAAGTATTGCATCTTCTCAGGCCAAATTGGTCCCAGTCAACCAATCGCGGAGAGATGGAAGGCTTGGTGAGCCTGAGCGCGATTCCATCCGGTATGTGAACCCGGACCCTATGCGTGTATGTGGCGCCACACCCGCTAATCACCCATGCTTCAACCCAGTTAATTGCAACATGATACTGATAAGGGTTTTCAGAAAATATAGTATCTTGACTCAAGCATGAGCAAGGAATGGCAGGAGGATCGTGAATTTTGGCCTGATAATTTATCGCTAGAAAACAAATGCTGAAAAGTCACCCTATGTATTATTATGCCCATTGATATTATTCTTACCCACATTTATTAATAAAAAAGATAAAAAGCATTTGCCGTTGATCAAACCCTTTTTGAGATGCGCACGAATTCTACGTGGCCTATACAATGACTTGCGGGGGCCAGCCGATGTTCAAGTCAGTGTTTTTTATCCTCCCAGACAAGTCTGGTACCAATTAACCGACCCCGGAGGGATGGAAGGCTTGGTTGGCCCGGGCGACTCACGACCCAGGATTTGATCCCGGACCGCTCGCGTGGTGAGCGCGCCACTTGTCACTACACCACTTCCGCCCTTAACAATTATACATAACCCTTATTTTATTTCAAAGCAGGTGAAAAGAGAAGACTCTTTCTGAATATTCTACGGACTCCCAAAATTCTAACAAGCTAGATTGCATATTTTATAATTGATAGTTTATTAAAAGCATAGAAAATACTCCGAAATCGTATCCAAAAGAAGGACCAGACGGTGACAAAACATATTGGGAGAGAAGAAGTGGCCACCCAATCCCTACGCCAGCCATTTTATACGGCCTTGTTACGAAAGAGATTCCATTACGATAAAATCGCCATACTTGTCAAGCCGATCTAGCCGATTAGCAAAACCAGGCCTGAAGCGGACCAGTCGCCATATCAATTGTGCAATCGCAGTTGATCAACACGGATTTCCGCCACTATAAAAGCTAATCCGTGGTTAATACCATATCTAACCGTCGTCTCCGGGGACCTCGTCAGGATGTCTAGCACTATGCTGACTTTCGTCATGACCAGTGCAGCTGCCATTGTGGTGATGGCGCAACTGGCTGCCATGTGGATGTTCGTCGATATGTCATACTTTGAGAAGACTCTCATGACCAGCATGACGGATTTCAAGGTTTGCTATTGGTTTTCTTGACAATCGATATACTTGCTCACAAAATCTGCAAAATTTGTGTTGCCTTAGTGGACGATTTCAATGAAAAATCCAAATGGCCCTTCAGGCTTTTATTAAGGATAAAGGATAAAGCATTTGCCGTTGATCAATCCCTTTTTGGGATGCGGCACGCATTCTACTTCCATTTGTACATTCGTAGTGGCGTTTGAATGCGATGTGGCCTATACAATGACTTGCGGGGGCCAGCCGATGTACAAGTCAGTGTTTTTATCCTCCCAGACAAGTCTGGTACCAATTAACCGACCCCGGAGGGATGGAAGGCTTGGTTGGCCCGGGCGACTCACGACCCAGGATTTGATCCCCGGACCGCTCGCGTGGTAAGCGTGCCACTTGCCACTACACCACTTCCGCCCCAGGCCTTTATTACGTAAAATAATTGGTGCAACTTTCGAAAAAAAATTTCCGCTGGGTTGCGAATGGCCCGCATTGCAAGGTCCAAACCAACTAAGGGATTAGTTTTGACCGAAAGAAAACAGCAACAGTCTCAGGCAATCCTGTCGCCCTTGCGTAGAAAGACCTATACATAAAATATCAAATTTCCGAACCACCATAACTATTGTGTAACTCTTACCGACGCCGCGGGACCGCAATTATTACTTTCTCATTCTACACAGTAAGGTGGAAATGCAGCAGGCTTCGTGAATGAAAGATATGCAGTATTTGTGCCCTCATTCATTTTATGACTAAAATTCTACTACTCTTTCTGCTTTCTCCTCCCTTTTTATGGGCACCGCAGAAAAACATGAGCATGGATTTGAAGGCAGAATTCACGATGGAAAAGCAACCCATTTCAAATTAACCTAGGGATGGTGAGTGGTACACGAAAGAAGGAAAAACCATGAGAAACGGCCCAGAACCCGAGAAATGGGACCCCTTCCTTGCCCGTTGATTTGAGCATTGATGCGACTCTCATCGCTGTGCCCTCTTCAACACTACGCTCTCTCAGCTATCTAATCACTCGCCACGTATTGAACTACGGCGAGTGATCAGATGATCGGTGGGCGGAGATCGCCGGACCCGCCAGCTTTGAGGCATGATAGGTCGCCGAGGTCAAATTTTTCCATGCGAATTGCGCGTCAGTTCGCACCCTCAGGAGGTCCGTGGGTCCCTCAACTAGGTCAATTTTCCCCTCGACCTTCGTTCTTATCGTGAATTCCTCCTTTTAAGCGAATCAGTTCGAGCTGCTCTATTTGACGTCTTCCTACTCTTGTCTGACTCCTTTGCCCAAGCAGAAATTTGTGACTACTGCGCAATAATATCCATATCAGTCTAGCCTTTCGTGGCAGGACGATGGCAGAAGTAGAAGACGAATATGCTGTTATGCGTGTTATGAGCGTCAGGAAAAGCTTCAGCGCTGACGGGTAAAGGACAAAGTCCAACTCAGCATCGAATGCATTAGTTACAACACAATGTTCGCGCAAGAGAGCGCAGACGAGAGCAGAAAACAGGGTACCCGACAGGAGGTCCATCGTGCGGCAATGAAGGCAGAGTCAGCGGACGAGTCGCAGCGCGTGCTGTGCGATGTAGGACGTACAGTGGTACACTCTATTTAACTGACGCAAATCACTACAGTACGCGCTGCGACTCGTCCGCTGACTCTGCCTTCGTGCCTCGCGACGGGCCCCTGGCCTGGTACCCCACAAAGTTGAAGCAGATCGAACGGCTACGAAAGTTGTCGCATCGCGGGACGCACCGTGTATTTGTCACGTCTACTAGGCAAGGTACATACTTAGCAGTGACGACACGATCTGAGATCGATCTCCTTGACCCATGGATATGTTGACTACGAAAGCATGAAGCTTTGCACGAGATACGCATTCTCTATGTCCACATTTGACCGGCTTTCTAATAAAAAGGAATTATTCAGGTAGAGTCGAATGATGTATGGCAAAAGATAGTGTCTGACGATCTGCAGCGTTCTGCGCGTTCGGTGCAACACGAAACTAATCGTCGTAATCGCCAAAGAGGGGCAAAAACCGTGAAAACAGGTCAGTTGTTTGACTTTACTGCCTACGCTTTTCAGTTTTCTAGAACTAGTGATATTCAGGATCCCAAGCATACTCCACTGGCCCAGCAATCAGCGGTGCAGGCGCAAGCATTTCCGACGGTGAGTTCAAATTAGGGCAACACTTAAGAGGGGATTCTACGACAAGGAGGAGGTCGAAGAAGGAAACATGCCTAAGGGAAATCCGATTGCGACACCTTTCGTAGCCGTTCGATCGCTTCAACTGGTGGGTACCAAGGCCAGGGCCCATTGCCGGAGGCACGAAGTAGACGTCAGCGACGAGTCACAGCGCCGTACTGTAGTGATTTGAGTGAGTTAAATCCAGTATACCGCTGTAAGTCCTATATAGCACTGCGCGCGCCGCGATTCGCCCGCTGACTCTGCCTTCATACCGCACGATGGACCTCCTGTCGGGTACCCTGTTTTCTGCTCTCGTCTGCTCCTGCGCTAACATGTGTGTAAAACAAAAGCATTCGATCTGAGTTGGCACTTTGTACTTTACCCGCAGCCTGAAGCTTTTCCTGACGCTCATAAACAGCATAACAGCCATATCCTCTACTTCTGCCATCGATGCATCAAAAGCTAGACGATATAGGATATTATTGCCGCCAGTAGGTTACACATTTCTGCTTGCAAAGGAGTCAGACAAGAGTAGGAAGACGTCAAATGGAGCAGCTCGAACTGATTCGCTTAAAAGAGGAATGTACGATAAGAACGAAGGCCGAGGGGAAATTTGCCTAGTGAGGGACCCACGGACCTCCTGAGGGTGCGAACTGACGCGCAATTCGCATGGAAAAATTTGACCTCGGCGACCTATCATGCCTCAAAGCTGGCGGGTCCGGCGATCTCCGCCCACCGATCATCTGATCACTCGCCGTAGTTCAATACGTGGCGAGTGATTAGATAGCTGAGAGAGCGTAGTGTTGAAGAGGGCACAGCGATGAGAGTCGCATCAATGCTCGAATCAACGGGCAAGGAAGGGGTCCCATTCTCGGGTTCTGGGTCGTTTCTCATGGTTTTTCCTTCTTTCGTGTACCACTCACACATCCCTAAGTAATTTTGAATGGGTTGCCTTTCCAGCGAATCTGCCTTCTCCATGGCCAGCGGTTTTTTCTGTGCGGTGCCCATAAAAAGGGAGATGAAAACAGAAAGAAGTAGTACGATATCCTTCTATTATATATAAAGCGCTAACTTTGTGTGTCGGTTTGTGTATGTGTGTGTGTGTGTGTGTATGTATGTATGTGTGTCCGTCCGCAAAATGAAGTGAGTGAGAAGGAAGCTCATGGGATAAACAAACCGCTAACAAATCGGGTAGCTTACAGGATTTGAGATATCAATGTTTTGTAGCAGGATAGTTGTGATAACACTCTTAGGGCTATATAAACACCTGCTTAGCACACTTCCGTTCATTCCACATGGTGCTGCAGTGGCAGCTGGAGGGCAGTGGAGGAAGGGAGGATGAGGAAGGGAAGCGAAAAATCTACCGTCATATCATGATTGTGTCCCTTCTACTGTATGAAACACCATTGTGTTGCATACGCGTCACTTCCAGGAGGTGTTGGTGTCACAGGAGGAAGGGACCATAGCGGAGGATAGAAAGCTTGCGCATTAAAGGAAGGTCCCGGCGGTTGACGGGGGACTAATCTGGTTTTAGTCAATAAAATAATGAGCGCAGCGATGAAAGGCAGTCTTTCATTCACGGAAGCTAGCGCATTTCCATTACTGGTAGAATAACCAGTAATAACTGCGGCCCCACGGCGTCGGTGAGAGTTACACAATAGTTATGGTGGTTCGGAAATTTGATATTTTATGTATAGGTCTTTCTACGCAAAGGCGACAGGATTGCCTGAACTGTTGCTGTTGTCTTTCGGTCAAAACTAATCCCTTAGTTGGTTTGGACCTTGCAATGCGGGCCATTCGCATCCCAGCGGAAATTTCTTTCGAAAGTTGCACCAATTATTTTACGTAATAAAGGCCTGGGGCGGAAGTGGTGTAGTGGCAAGTGGCACGCTTACCACGCGAGCGGTCCGGGATCAAATCCTGGGTCGTGAGTCGCCCGGGCCAACCAAGCCTTCCATCCCCGGGGTCGGTTAATTGGTACCAGACTTGTCTGGGAGGATAAAAACACTGACTTGTACATCGGCTGCCCCCCCCCCCCCCAAGTCATTGTATAGGCCACATCGCATTCAAACGCCACTACGAGTGTACAAATGGAAGTAGAATGCGTGCCGCATCCCAAAAAGGATTGATCAAGCGGCAAATGCTTATCCTTTATC